GATTCTTATCAGTTTGTTATGTGTTCTTAACTATGGTATTATAGCATTTGACGCAAACCTGTTCAAAGATATCCTAACACACCAATCTCTCAGAAATGCTAACAAAACAGTGTGCAAGGGTAATTTTGCTATAGGATATGATGTGTGCAAACACAAAATATAACAACGAAATTTTACCATCATGGAAGAGGGGTGTTCCCAATTCGACAAACCCTAATGCATTGCCCTTGTAATTTTCAGATGTAACATCTACCAGAGACATGCACCTCAAACAACCCCATCTACAGATATAGTTCGTCCTTTTCGTATATGTTTGTTAATAATGAGGTCATTATATAATAAATGGGACTTTTGGAATAGATAAGACAGTATCTGATGCTACCTACCAATTTTCGACGTTGGTGGTATCCAGATTATAGTTCGTGATGTTTATATTCTTACCATCATTGTCGCTTTGGCTATCAAGAACCATTTACAACAAAACCGTCTGGTTTTACTTCAGTTATAAGGTTAATGAACTAGTATACTCAAAAATATATCAAAGGGCGAGTTATGCAATTAACGAAAAACGCGGGCTACTGTTTTGGTCAGCAACAATGTAGTCGTTGGAATCTGGGTCAGAGATGATATAAAGTCAAATAAATGTATTTAATTAGTACGATGATTAACTCGAGCAGTACAAGTACTAATAATACTATAAACTAATTTACTACAACTTCTAGACGTTCACAATAGCTGACTTTTACCCTTTCATACTATTTATTCATTCACCAAATCAGATTGAATTAATTAATTGGATCACATTTATTAACAAACTGACACAAGTAGCCTCACAGATGAGCCACTTTAGGTGAAAAGACCAAATAAAGTGAATGTGATCACAATGTTGTGTGTCAATACCAGAGAAATTGGTCGGGTATGTTTGAACGTATTGTCTGTGTAAGACGATAGACGATCAATATTACAAGCCAACTTCAACTTCTGTCAAATGACTAGTAACAGAATAAGTGAATAAGACCCGCTCCATATTACCTCAGTGATGCAAATTGAAGTAAATTGGTTCCGACAGGTTGCCTGAGCGTACATAACTTTATTTTAAGTAGACTTGGTTGAGATAGTTTCTAGAGGTTTTTGATTTAGTTATCACATGTTGAGTTACATCTTCTACGACACGATTTGAAAGGCAATGAGAAGTTTCGAGGGGATTTGATCATATTAGATTGTATTCTATAAAATGTATAATATAATTATTCTACTTTATAATTCTTCGGTTGTTTTCACATATTAATATCTATTTTTAATACCCTATGACACAAAATCCGTTAATTCAAATGTTTGCAGGAAAATACCTTCAATAACAAACTTCAATTATGTATGGCCTACATTTTATTCCAAAACCATCCATATAAAATACTTATATGACACAAAATAAAATGCTCAGCTCTTGTGTTCCACTATTGGTTAATGAGGACAAGATACGCGATATGGTGTGCAGTTGGACAATTTGGGTATCCCTCTTTGAAGGTCAAAGGCACAGTGTAGCACAAATGGACCTTGGCAAATGGTCCAATTCGAACGGGAGAGGGGTGGACTGGACTAAAGTCGTAAACTGTTCTCAAGATGTTCCATCATTATTTTCAAATTCAAATTATGATCACTATATCGGTTGCCTCCGAGTACATTGCGTCTTATATGTCTAGGATTCTAGTGTTTTGTTCATGAGGCAAAAATAGTATGTGTAAGACAAGGCTGATTACAGTTGAAGTACTAGAAGAGTAATTACAGATTTAACACTTGTCCATACCATTTGTTCTAATGGTTGGTTGAGCTTTTGGCGTTTTAACGGCTATTTAGACAGGATTAAATCTAATTCCCTGGAAAATCTTATGAATAACATCAGGCACTTACAGAGTTTTTTGTGTGGCGTAAAAAAGTCTGATGGGTTATCTGCAACAATTTCAGATTTTTCTTGGGTATTTTGTGTTGTATTGTTTATCGATTGTGGAAGATCTGTGTAATGTCATCTGAAAGTGTATTCTGACAGGTTAAGAGCAGTAAACTTCCTTATCTGAATGTATACAGTTTGTCCATATATTATAGATTGTTTGGCTGATTCTTCCGAGATAAGATATAGTTTTTGTTACAACAGAATTATGATATATTGCGCTGTTTAAGATAATATTCACATTTGAAGGTTGACAAATCTTAGAGTTCGGTTACATGATTTGTTGTATGTATGGTATTACTAATAAAGAAGATATTATCTTCATATCATAAACATTTCATTTGTGAAGACTTTATTATGGACATGTAAAAATTCTAGGGAACGCATGCGGCTGCTCTATACTGGTATACCGTATCCATTAGTCCACTTTGTGCAGAAAAGTAAGACGTAAAACCCCCTTTATTTCATTTCTATAGAGGTATCGGCTACTATAGTTTTGAATCAGCTTAAATGTAACGTAAATAATCCAAACTTTATGGATAACCTTGTGTCTGAAAGACCTGTATATAATGTGCAATATCTGATAAAAAAAATGCCATTCATTGCTTATCTAAAGTAGATCTGATAGTTAACGTATGTTTAATCTCTTTGTTCTAGTTGTGGTATTTTACTAGCAAGCCGTATTGATTGTTATCCTATTAGGACCTTCATTCTATCTTTTCTTCCTCATTATCTTGTCATACTGAATTGATGTGGAATGAGAGACCACCGAGATCAACCTTACATCTTGTTTGGGTCGTATTCTATCTCCCTTGTGGAAGATCATTTTGAACTCAAATCCTCTAAGTGGCGGTTAAGAGTTAAAGTTTCCTGAACGTCTTAAGATTGAAGCAAGAACTGTCTAGTCATATTAGATGAAATATACATTTTGTTACATGAATGTTTAAGAATTTTCAACGTTATTTACATGTTTTCGTGATTCATAAATAGCAGCCTCGCTTCGTATTCTTTTCTAATATATTTTTCCTCTGTCACAGGTGTGCTTAAACGAATTGCAAAGGGCCTTTAAAGTGGGCAGATGCCACCTTGAGCAGTGTAAAAAACACGAACACAAGACAGCTAAGAATACATAGATATTGGTGTTGCATTTATGTTGTTTATTTTAAGCTCAAAGACATCATTCAAGGAAAACAGTTACTGACAGTTCATTTGAATAAACCAACCAATAAAGGGATTATGACCAAAAACAACATTATCTAAGACAGTATCTTTGAAGTCAGTTAACCAGAGCCTCGGATGGGGAAGTACTTTGTCTTCGTTCTGTACTTATGTATCGAGGTTTCATAGTACATTTGATGGATATATTATAGATTTGATATTGTATTGTCGTATGAAATCCAAACGGAGTTTTGCTTTACGGAATAATGTGAGACTCTTTCAAATAATTAGATACACCTTGATTCGTCTGATAAAAGCAGTGACTTAAAAGAAAATCTAATTTATTCCGCCAGTCTTCAACGTGATGTTAATATGCTTATTCTAATACTATTATCTTATTATCTGTCTCTTCTTAGACTGTCGACAATTCCTTTAATCTTAACCGTTGGCAGTGGAATCATCTTGACCTTGATAATGGCATCCACGTAAACCTTTGACCATGGCGAAAGCAATTTATAAGTTCGGATCAAATATTATCATTATTCATGAATTACCATTTACATGATTCCCCCTTGTCATCATATTGTAATCGGAAATGCACCTGTTAGACAGGGAATACTGATTTTTTGAAAGCATTTCGGATTCATATAATTGGTTTCCATTACAAGACACTGGTGATCGTTCTCTTAAGGACGTCGGCGCCCATTGATCCAATCGTATATGCAGCAGCAGTCATTGGAACTCTTATGAACCCTTGCTTGATGGCATTTTTTAAAAAAAATAGTCAGATTACTCTGGTATCCATGGAGTCTTTGATTACACATGGCACAGACAAAAAGCTTCTGTAGAGATGAGGATGAATTTCAAAACAGAAATTTTCAATCTTTAAATCTTCGACAAGGAGTTTACAATGGCAACTGTGATATATAGAAAATTCCAGACCAAGGCAATTCTTACTGGCCTGTTATTGACACTGTTTGTTTGGAGATCGAAAGGCTTGAACTGAACATGTAAAGGCATTTATTCAGATTCATTGAAAGTTGTTTGAATGGTAAACACGGCGAGAAGTTCTACAATAGAATAATATGAATGTGTCTATTTATGACAAGACGTAATCTTGTCCTTGCTAAAAGCTGATTAGTTCAGTTTCACGACCGACATCAATCCGCCACACAGTCGTATTGAGATTTTTTTATGTGTTACTGATCTTTGTCTCTTTATACTATTCCAATCACCTCGGTCCCAATGGGTGTAGTATTTCTCTTTAATCAAACCCTAGTGATTCATCCGTAGAAAATCAGCATAAAACGAACATCGTAAGATGAGTTAAACAGCAATTGATGAAATCCTAGCTCTGATTACAGTTTTATTTAATGTTTATTTGAAAAGGGAATGGGTTTTGTCTGTCTGTAATGATGATTAAGTGTGATAGAATTATTTCAACTCTTTCTAACAGGTTTATATTTCATAGCAAGTGCTAGATATATATTATGTCATAAAAATGTCAGATGTGTAATAAGCAAATATAATATTTCTTACCTACTATACATACAGACCACAATTTCTTTACTCACAATGGACTATGATATGTTAAAATTTAAAAATTATAGAGCATTGTTCAGCAAAAAAACAAACATAATAACATAATGCTTACAGCTAATGTTTCATGCTTTAAAAGAGATTGCGTTTTGATTTATTTCTTATATAGATTAAGCAATTTAGTTGAGGATATATATATACCCCTGTCGCCCCTTTAAATTCACTCTAATAACCCAGACCGATCTAATAGAACCTAGTTATTTCATATTTTATGTTTTAATTATACTAGGTCATAGGTGAATTCTATAAGCAGACGACTATGATGGAATGGTAGTATAATGGACATTATTTTCAGATTATGGGTTTGGACATAATTATCATTGAAGGCAGCCCAATTTTTAACAATTTGCTATTATCTATTACAGGTGGTATAACGTTGGAACCAAGTTTTGATGTACCAATGGTAAATGTTACAGTTAAAGAGGGAACGACGGCGATTTTACCATGTTCAGTTAAATTTCTAGGGAAACATCAGGTAACTGTTTCTTTCTTTTTTTGTAGACAAAATCTATATTTATTTACAGTGGGTAAGTTAAGTGCTTTGGGGTTGAGTTGACCCAAAAATTACCAAGTCATTTCACAGTTCGTACTGTTACTGTAGTGATATATGTACTAATATTAATTTTTTGATATAAATCGGGTTTGATGTGAGGATTGTAAAAACAGTATTGTATTATGGATTATATGTCACACTTTTATGATAGAACGGATTAAAAGTATTACGACAGTCTTGTTCGATACGATCAAAATTTTGTTTTCAAATATTTCTTCATTCCTTTAGGCTTTCACTATCTTTAATTTCATCGCCTTAACCTACAACCATTTCAATTTTTTCCTGTGAAGTCCTAACATTATCCGTCATATGAATTGAGAGCCTTTTTATATTTGGACATATTTGATGTGTTTTTCTTCTCGGTGGAAATTTAACTGTCAGATATGATTGGGTTCATGATATCATCGATCAATACACAAAACTATTCTAATTAGACGTATTGTTAATACAAGCAGGACCCCTGGTATAGAAACAGAATGTATAGCTTTCCAATATTTCATGATATTTTTTAATATAATGCATATTTTCAACTCGGCTGACAAAGATGGTGGAGTATTTTTTTATTTAATTAATTTTGTCTTGTACAAAAAATTACAATATATTATAAAGAAGCATAAAACACCTTACTTCGGATCAACGGTTAAAATAAATGCAATTAGCACTTTGCTCCAAACTGCTTGGTGTGTTGTTAGTTAGGAAAGTCATACTCACCTTTCAAGGACACCTGATGCCAATTGCAACTGGAAACTATCGACTGGAAAATCCACATTGGCACTTAAGATGATACCAGATGGTTAACTTATTATAGTAATTCCTTAGTTTAAAGACATCCCTCCTACAAATCATTAAAATTCAGCTCTCCTGTTACTTTTTCCATGGCTAGGAATATAAATTAGGCGTTGAATGTTGTATTTGTAATTGAAGAGATGTTTACGATCTAAATATGAACTTAAATGCCACATGTTTGAGTAAATGGCACGATTCAGACATAAAATGGCGCAAAGGACTTGAACTGACTGAAGGTCATAACAAGCAATCAGAGCTGAAAGAACGAAATGCAATTTCAGAATGCGACAAAGACAACCTAATGTCACAGAAATCAAACCTTTGAAAAATAAATCTCAGAATAACATTTAGATCTGTTTCGTGCTCGTCTGACATCCCCCGGCTATAGCCACTCTAATTATATGTTTCCTTTAAAACATCTTGTATTAAACCAAATATAATCCCAATAAAATTCCAAACTGTGTTTTAGTAACAGTAAGTGTTAAGATTGTCTACCTCGTAAAATATATCGCCTAATTAGATATTATTAAAGTTTTTCAAACTTCGCTCGCTTTAAAGGAAATCATAATCCTTTATTGAGATGGAAATTTCAGAGAGAACATAAAGCATTGACATCTAAGGCACGTGCAAGTTCCTTCCTAACCAACCTTTAAAACCATGCGTAATCCATTAACAGCGAAGCCTGGAACAATGTGTGTTCTTGATTAACAAGGACAGAGTTTGGTATGATACAACAGGGTATTATTACTCTGACACAACCATTTATCAAGTGTGTTCACGATACGAATGAGATTTTGGGAAGAGATGAATTAACAGAGTCTAATCGTTCAGATCGATTCGTATTAAAACATAAAACTAAACTAAAAGGAACTATTGGTCTTGGAGTTAAGCTGGAACACACCCAAAACGCAAAGTTACCATTGTTTTACATTGGGTTACCCATATTACTAGCACTTCAAACGTTTGCACAATGTACTTCCGTTTGGTTGGTTGGGGCCTATAATTATTCTAACCTACCCCCGTGGTCGATTGGTGTGCTTGAGATTTAATACAAATCGTCTACAACTGCATTAATTTTAAAATTAATAACCAAGGGAGATAATTAGAATATGATCTATTCAACGAACCAATCTGCGTTTACAAGATGTTATGACAAACAAATGTTTACACTTAAAAATTGAACTCGAATATATTTACTCATTCTGTTTTTCTTCACATGCCGTCTTGATTGAAACTTGCTAGATCTTCTCTGGCAAGAAATTTGTTTTTCAGAATAGAAATGGATTATTCTTGCAGTCTGTCACCTTCGATTACTTTTACTATTTCAATGTTTACCTCCAAGGCTGTATGTTCTTCTTTTACATTCACCAAACACCCAAGTTACATTCCTAATGACACCTTCCATTGTTACTCTAAAATTCTACCCATTAAATGAAACAAACCATTCTTATCTCTGTTGATGTTTACGCCTGAATGTCGTTAGTGGTTCGCTTTAGACTAGGGTGAGTCAGAAAACAAATAAAGTACATTGCTAATACTAAATATATCATGAACACTAGAAATATTTTCAATTAAATACTTACTTATACTTCAATAACTTTACAGTCTTTCTTATTTAACATTACATTTGTTTATGTTTTAAAACAATGGCTTGTTTCAGATCTGAGTAAAATTATAACCAATTTAGATGCGTTTTTTGTATTTGCGTGGGTTTACCTGATATGATTAAGATGTTGTTGGCAGGTCACTGATGTGGTGATCAAACTGGTTATTGAAATGTCAAATCAGAATCCATCTTGGAGAATTCACATATTATATCAGATTAATTAAAATAAAACCAAACTTCTTTCCGTTTTTTATTAGCTTTTATTTTTAATTTTACCACTTCAGTTCAGGTTTAAGGGCGCCGCATTGCACTTTCTTCCATTTGATGATACCGCAAGCCAAGTTCCTGAAATCTCCAACGCTAGGATTTTGTGACATGAACAAAAGGTGTATTCCGAGAAGCATTAGACATTAAATGCACCGAATGCAATGAGACTGATGTTAAATTAAGGTTATATTATTTATGATATATTTCGTATATGATACGAAGAAATGTTCATGTTTCAGGTAATATGGACAGATCAATGGTCTACATTGTTAACATTTGAAGATAGAAGAATAATAGATGACGAAAGAATTAGCGTAGAAAGACCCTTTACCAAAGATTGGAATCTACATATCCGCCATGTTAAATATGGTGATCAGGGAATTTATAACTGTCAAATTAACACAAGTCCTGTCAAAATAAAAACAGTTAATTTAAAAGTACAGGGTAAGTATATTTTAAATTTTTATCCTTACAATTTAGGACAATTATTGGTGCAGAAAAGTAAGACGTAAAACTCCATTAATTTTTTCATTTCTATATTAAGCAAGAAAAGAGTTGATTTTCAAGAACTATGGATAATGAACAATTGATAATTCAAAGTGGGACAAGGGGAAACATTCGTCAAGACGGTGCGAAATGCATTGGTGACCAAAGACTGAAGTAAATCAGTGATGTCGAAGGGGAAATGTGTATCACGCTTCATTACCCTTGACTTACATAATTGTCATAACACGAAAGAAATTGATTTAGAATACAAAACATTTGTTTAGAATTAAATCTGGTTATTAATTCAAAGTAACATCATCAAGATAACAAGCCTTAATTCTACTTCCGGTATTGATCGACAATTTCTTGTGGCAACTTCAATAAAATTAACATGGTGACGGAATTAGTTATTTATTTTTCTAGAAATTAATTAGCGAAATCACTTCATCCTCATTCTACTTTGTTTATTTTTCTTCTTTCTTTCCGGATTCAATAATTCGATACGACCACTTTTCTATTGTCGATTGCCAAAGGTACCAATTTCCTTGGTAAACGAATAACACTACTTCAGTTTCCAATACCACTAACACTTGTTAAAAAACCTTGAACAATATCAATGGAGTGATTTGACCTTTCTCCACTTCATGACTTCCATGGAAATTAATGTTGTGGTAGTGGAAATGCATTAAAAATGGGCATTTTTAACATATATTTTAACATTGGACATAACATTTTAAAGTTTTTGAATATAAAAATCATGGCCTGTCAACGAATTCAACGGAACAAAGAATAACTTATTTGGACTATTTCTTCGTGCGCAATAATTTAACCGAATATTTATTCAATGCTAATTAGAAGAAATGAACTTGTATTGTAAAGGAGCGGAAGTGAACGAGTCTGTTTTCACCAACTGTAATTAACTAGATATAGATTGTCACCAATTTACCATTTCTTTACAAGTCAGAAATGAAACAATTTTTATTCAGCTTTCACCCAGTAACATGTAATTGTATTTTCTCGCTGACTCAATTGGCTTTATAGAGAAGAACTTTTATTAGTTTTATACGATCAGATCAAGTGTTTAAGGGTGGCAGTTTAGAGGCTAAACCGTTTATTTTCAACATAAACTAGATTATTTTATTACGCACCTTGTCTCTCTTATATTCTTTAGTCTGTGTTCACTGAATACCAGATTATTTAGATTCTTATTAACCTTTTTCACCTTTTTGTACGTTTATTTCAGCAGAATAGTATTGCAAAGTGACTTAATTTACTCCATACACTACTATTTTGCAATATATTGGGCTTTGTTTTTAGGAAAAAAATTGGATAATATACTACTTGGATCCAGAAATTAATGAGCTTTCAGAAATGTTTTTTAATTGTCATACCAAGTGGTTGATCTCGATGTGTTCACATATGCCATCTTTAACGTGTACGAATTTCAAGAAATTGTCTTTATCAAATATGAGAATGAATATGTATTTTGAAGCCTTTCAGGTCTATTCAATTAAAAAAGTAAAAGAATTCACTAAGTAAAGAACTATTCCCGAGTCCATCATCCACCCTGATAATCACGTAACAATTTTTTTTATACATGTTTAATCAGTAGACATATGTCTGTTTTCTTCTTTCAGTTCCAGCCACTATCATTCACCATTTATCATCGGAGGATCAGACGGCGAGAGAGGGCGACACTGTGACCTTGACATGTAATGTCACGGGTATTCCCGCCCCTTCTGTCACGTGGTATAGACATAAATCCAGTGATAAGGGGTTCGAGAAAGAGAGTGAGTTCTGCCCTGGCACTAATAGTAAGATATTTTGTGTTGGTGCATTTCTGCATGCTAAAAAAAGAAAAAAGAAATCCCTAAATTCCAGACCCAGAGTTTGACACCAAATTGTATGAAAATCCACCGCCTTACAGGTTTCGTGAACAAATATAAAGACAGGCTACAGTATCTATTCTTGAAATATGCACGTGCATTTTATATTTCTATTGATAAGATTAATTGTCAATTCTACCCTAACTACGAATTTCAATATTTAAGTTGCTAATGTATTTGGTGGTAAGTTAGTCCTGAACATACTCTTGGATTTTTAACATTTTACCTTTTTATCATGTATTTCAACTTTGTCAAAAAATCCATTTGCCTGACCTATTTACAAAACAAATTCATTTTAATTGACTCGCAATTTCCATCATAAAATATAAACTCATACCAGCAAAATATTTTAAAAGCTTGAACTTTTTTAAGATTCCTTATTTTGTATGATCTGGTAGCAAAAAATACTTTTTAGAAACATTTCTTGATTTGTTGCATGCTTAATAATCTAGTTACTACTAACACAATTTTACTAACAATTCTCATCCAGGTTTGCATGTTTCATATCTCGCAAACAATTATTATAGTAAATACTTCGTTTTACGGAAACATGTCCAAATTGTAACTCACAAACTCGATTACAAATAAAAATGACACTTTTAAAGGTTATTGAAACAAAATTATGAAATTGGGTCTTTTCAGAGAAACTCATTAGCGTTTGTTTGAAATGTGTGGGGCGCCCTCGGAATATGCTGGGATGCACAAGTTTAAGGCTTTTTATGTTCAGAGATCTTTCATGCAACCCTTCAAAATCTCATACCGTCATACCAATCACCCCATATAACCATATTTAGCATTATCCTAACTTCAACTAACTCTTCCCGATTACTAACAACTTTTCATCACCACCAATAAAACGCACGACCTTCTTCTTAAACTGAACAAATTTAATCTTCTAAGATGAACTTTCCATCACCCTTTTGAATGTTAGAAAGAGTCAAACAAATCTCATCACATTTTTTAACTTTGTAGATTAGACAAGTTTTTAGTCTTGCTTTCCAATTTTCAACATAATAAAAATGATTAAAAATATTTCCTGATTGTCTCCATCTTGGTTATTAAACAGAAACTAGAAAAATTGTATTCGACTTAAATAATACATTTACGATTGGCTACATCTGCTGTCAGAAAGCTGAAAGCCTTTATGCCTCGTCCCTTCTATTTTAGGAATAGGAATCAGTGGTGAGGTGCTGATAATACACAATGTGAGTAGATATTGTGGAGATACTTATGAATGTGTTGCTTTTAATGGTGTTCCTCCAGCTGTCAGTAAAAAGATTAAAGTCGGTGTTGAATGTGAGTACAAGAAACGTAAAACAAAATCTTGTGTATAATTTGTAGTTTAGTGGAACTTATTGAAAATTAAACTTATGTCTAAATGGTTTGCCAAAATAGAGATATTATCTTTAATTGTAGATTAGATGCCCAAAATTTTGCTTTAATGCTTATAATATTCGTCCGAATTCAGTAAATTCACCTTTGGAATTTATTTGTGCTAAGGTTGGAGAAAAAGTCATTTTTACTAATGCTAAATTCATTAGTTTTGTTATATTTTGCAGTTCCACCAGAAGTTCGACTGCCTAATAAACGAATTGGACAGATAGTTGGTAAAGAGACAATATTAGAATGTGTTATTACAGCTTATCCACAAGCAGTTAGTGTGTGGTTATGGGAGGGTATGGAACTCAGTAATGGTCGGAAATATCGTATAGAAATATATGATGAAGGTGAACATACCATAACTTTAAGTTTACGAATACGAACTTTAGATTATTCAGACTTCGGACGGTATAGTTGTATGGCTTCCAATCCATTAGGAACAGATAAAGAGGAAATGGTGCTATATGGTATGTACTTTAAGTTGTTTACAGTATTCCAAATAAAGCTTTGGAAGCGCAAGTGCTTTTCAGTTAATTTGTGTTTAGATCTAGAAGTCGTAACGGTCTAGTTTTTGATACAACCCCCAATTTTTGAGAGAGATTTTAATAAGTTGCTTCTCAATTTGATGCAAATCTGTTCAATATCTCTTGATATTTTGAACATTGTTTAAACAATCAAAGGCCAGTTCATTTCACATATTTGAATGTTATCTGGGATGGCAACTTTAAGTGTGAAACGAGATGAATTGGCAGGTTTTTGATGCTGTACTGGATCATATATTATCACTATAATTACTAGGATCAAATGTTAACACTTTAATTACTGATAATAAAAAGAAAGTGGAATATTGTCTCCAATCAATCTAATATAAATATTAACAGTTATTTTATACCGTATTTTTATTATCGCATTATGATCAGGATAGTTATATGATATAATAACTAATTTTAAAGCTAATCAAAGCACAGTATAATTTACTCTGTCTACAGCATGATTTTAAGGTATTATTTCTAGACAATTTTCGTTATGTTGGGCTTCAATCGCTGTAGGGAGAAGAGTAAGAAAAACAATAATGATGTATGAATATTAAGCTATTGTAAATGTTTATTTATTCGTTTGTGTAAGAAGTTCTCTTGACTCATGGCAGTTTTAAAAAATTACTTAATTAAAACTGTTAGCCTGAACTTTATTGGGTAGATTCCAATTTTAAAGCATAGATTTTGCGAACTTGTTTGTTAAAGTTGTACATGTACAATTAAAGGGGAAGTCTGATTTTAGGATGGAAAAGTAAGGTGCTCATGAAAACTTTAGACCAAAACCTAGAAAAATGTGACCCTAAGCCTGTTTGAAAGTTTTTAACCAAAATATCCTACCGTTCATTTTCAAAACACCAAAACCACGACAAATTAAACTTTTGATAATTCATTAATATATCTTTTCAGATTATACTGCCCACAGATCAACGACACCTGCTACTACCCCTGTTCCTATTCCAACTACAGTCAGCACCAAAATAGTAACATTATACCCGCATGCGACTATGGGTCCACTTAAACCACCGTATATTCACCCTAATAATTACGATAAATACGAGAATACAGATATGGATTATATTACCCAACGACCCCGAGGAACACCATACCCCAGTCGACCTGTACACGCCGGTAAAAGTTTTTCTGCCTCCAAATCGACCAATCATAAGCTGTGTATCGGCAATCTCATGCCATTATGTACGTTCTTTGCCAGTTTCAATTGTTGCAGAAAATGGATACTGTAGAATTGGGGTCGCATTGTTTCCCTTTTTCTCGAAATAATATAGCATTATCACATTATCTTGATTTTGAAACAAGTTGAACAAAAATATATTGAGACAATTCGTTTCAATTGGCTGTAGTCGACAGGCTTATATATTGTTAAAAATATTAATTAAAGGTATCCATTTTCTTCGACAAAATGTTTCATTCTTCACAGTAATGCACATGATGTTACACTTCTTTTCAAAACTCACCGTCGTGTATGAACTATTATGATTTGGAATATACTGATACTGATTTTCAATCCATTGCTGAGTATGTTTTTGTCACAGGAATAGTTTACCTAAGGAGCAAACAAAATTGCATTACTTTTCGAAAGTTATACATATTTTGAGGGAATTTCGAAATGAAAAGAAATACTCATTCGTGTTATATCTTCAAACTTCTATCTTTTGCATTTCAGGTTCAGCGGCGAAAACTTTAGAATCGACTATGATTGACAATTGTTGTTTAACCACGCCCTCCACATACGTCATAGCAATAAGTTTTGTGTTCTTTCACCAAATTCTACGAGATATGTTTCACTGACACCAACTCTTATCTTTCTAAAATCTTTCTGGAAAAATTCTAACTCAGTTTTTAATACACACGAACTGAATTCTGTGTGATAGAACATCTTAAACCTTCTAATTTGTTTTAAAATGACATCAAATTTTAAATGGGACACAAAATTTGGTATGTAAAATGGATCGCATTAGAGGAATCATTTCATGTGCTATATAAGGAATAACGGTATCAATCATTATAATCAATATTGCTTTAAGATATGTGTTGATCGCAGTATTGTGATATGTAAAAACTTGTAAATACAACATTTTATAATTGAGGTGCACGAAATACATCACAATCACCAACAAAGTTGAAGCAATCGCTACTGCTAGTGTGGAAAAGAATGAATGATACAAAAACAACAGTTAAAAGGAATATTATAATAAATTCCTCACATATGAGAAAAGAAAGTTATGTAGAATTTTCACTACATTCCTGGTCTATTGTACCGGTGACAATGAATGGTGATTGTTGAGACTAAAGTAGCATATATATGCGATCGACTTGATATTGACTTCTCAAAGGCTGTGGGCACACGAACAATCTTGGTCACCGTTTTTTGTCGACGACTAAAGTCTTGTCAAGAGTTTCACAGACCGGTTGCGGGTACACGAGGAGACAAATATCAAGCTGGTCTGATGTAAATCCTGGCAACGCGATAATCTTGCCATGGGAGTCATGGCACGCGTGAAATTCGAGTAGGCTACAAAAAGCGTGTGCGTGTGTTCGTGTGTCCGCCCCATAAGAAATACTAGAGGCCATACCCTAGTATATGTTTTTTTTTTTATATAAAGTGAAATATGTGCAATAATATGTTCACTTCTACTAGTGTAATATGTTGTATACGTTGTGTGTTTTATCTGCTTAATTTTAGTATGTATACAAGATCACTTCAATAGCCCGTTGAAGCCATTTACCACGAGATTCATTCTTAACCTTTTTTAAGTTTCGCCCATTCGAGTCAGAGGCAAAGGAGAAGGTTTTAGTCATTTTCACATGTTCGTATTGTTCTATTTGCTGCAGAAAAAATTTCCATAGATAATGTTACCCACTGATATTACTGATATTCACATTATTTATTATTATAATTATTCATATACTCACTGTATAATTTTGTATATAAATTATATCATATCATATTTAGGCTAGAATAACGTATTTTAACGATTGGAACATCATTAACGCTGGAACAGCCTTGGAATAATCCAAAGTATTTCAATAAATAATCAGATTGGGAATTTTTCCAATTTATAATCATCAAGGGAGATAATAATAATTCAATCCTTGTTTAAACAGCATATAATATTAGTATTTAAAAAAAACCTTACATAAATGTTTTTCTTTCAAAAATATAGCAAAGCGTCTTTTTTGAATGACCTTACAATCTGTACTCTTTGTGCTATCCTGTAATTTAAGGACAATCATCTCGTTTCTGAAAGTTTTCAATGACTTCGACATGTATGTCGATGAAATTCTTTACTTTTATTTAAATGAAGGACCAATTTAGACGAAGTAATATCAATGTTTTTTTTTAAATAATTTAAATATATAAACCTGTTCATAATCTGTTATTATTATTGTGTAAATAGTATGGTAGTTTAGAATGATTATATTATTATTATTATTATTATTATTATTATGTCAGCCAAAGATTAAATCGTTGCAAATAAATCATTTCGTTTACACATATTTTTGTTGTGCTTTATCAGAGGTACTTCGTGCATAATCATCGTTCTCGATAGTATTATGATGTTTTGCACAGTGATTTTATTTTCAATTTTCTTTAACAAGGTTGTGGGACCGTCACGCCATGACGTTCTGGTCAGCGTTCTACAACGTTTGAGGAAACGGTTATCGTCCATGGTCGCTGGGAAAGCGCCGGAAGCGCCGCAGGTAGTGTTTTTCAACGTTTAATTTTAAACGCTAGAGAACGCCGAAGAACGATCATGGAACTCTTTACTAACGTTCGCCGAACCTTGTACGCGTTGGTTGGTATTAATCGTTTGCTTTTTTCGTCTTGGCGGCACGATGTTCACTGTTCAATCTCAGAAGAACAACTGAATCCACTACGATTTTTCATCGTTTTATATCCGTTCGACTATAAAACCCACACGCCAGCAAAACGCTATTCTGTCGTTATTCACACGTTAGTCACACGCCAGTGACACGTCAGCACACGCTAATGGTTTTCATGGGTAGGCCTATCTTACTTGGTCGCTGTTACACGCTCCTCATGCGTTAGTCACACGTTAATCACACGCCAGATGTGTCCACCCTAAAACGCTCGAAAATTGAACGATTAGAACGATGTCCAGAACGTTATGGTGTGAAGGACCCTTTAGATTTTAATATGCCTAAATCTACGCAAATGAAATAAAGTAGGCCTACCTAGTCCAAAGATCTTTCGCAATGCCTACGAATCCACGTCAAGGCATTAGCCACACTCAGACACCAGTTCCAAATATCTGAGCAACCTTGAGTTTCATTTATAGTAGGCCTAATGGTTCCTGGCTCAAAATATTATTAGGTCATTTTTACAGGGAACATTCTTGGTCAAACCAAATCAAAGTGTTTGAATAAAAATATGGATATGGTAAATTTATGGTTCAAGGGAGATAACAGGTTCAATTCTTACTTTTTAGGGCAAGATAACGGTGATAACCTACACGATGCTAATCCATATTTGTTAATCGATAAATTTCTAAAACATAAGAAAAGATAGCTTGCTAGGTAATTTAACAACTAGTCAGCAACACGTTGATGTATTAAGAAAAGTTATAGTTGGCGATAGTGCTGGAGGCCATGTAAACCTAATTTGAAATAACGAACTGGCACTTTGATGTAGTTGTCTCCCTTGAACTGGTTGTTGAAATTCAAAACAAACGGTAATCATGTTAAATATGTTCTCTTCTTTATTAGTCGTTTAGTTCATGAGTTAAAACTTTAGTTTTTTCTTTTACGTAAGGCTTCACAGAAACATTCGTTATTGGTGTTTCCATTTGTCATAGTTTGATTACCTCAAAACGTCGTATATGAATATGAATGTGTTTCTGTCGCTTATGACTTTAAACTACCGAATAAGATCAAATACTGCCAAACACTATCCAGCTGGCTTTAAACGTAGATTCGTGTAAAGCACAATATATTCAAAAGCGTGTAAAAAAATTAGCACAATAAATTTTAAAATAAATTCGTCGCTGTTATATATACATTACATGAAACGTTATGTTTTTTTTTTCTAAATGTATATTAAATTTAGGATTTCAGGACAATCATGTTTCATAGCTTTAGCAATTAGCATTCGGGTATGATAGCCATTTTTTAAATTAAATTCATTTTAGTGCCTATTTTGCTCAGTTAAACTAGCATACTAGATTCAAAATGCCATCATTTGGACAAATAGTGATTGGCCCACCAGCTACTGGAAAAACTACCTACTGTTGTGCCATGGCTTCACATTTGATCAAGAAAGAGAGAAAGGTAGCAGTGGTGAATTTAGATCCAGCTAATGACATTTTACCCTACAAACCAGCCATAGATATTGCAGATCTTATACAACTCTCAGATGTGATGGAAAATTTAAAACTTGGACCTAATGGCGCTTTAGTGTATTGTATGGAATATCTAGAGAAAAACGTTGACTGGTTATTAGAAGAACTCTCTAAAATCAAAGATAGTTATGTTCTGTTTGATTTCCCTGGACAAGTGGAACTCTTCACCCATCATCAATCTGTGAAGAATTTAGTAAATCTTTTACTAAAAGCTGACTATAGATTAACTTGTGTGAATTTGATTGATTCATTCTGTTGTAATGAACCTGGGAAATATATATCTGCATTGATAATATCATTAAATACCATGTTACAACTAGAACTTCCTCATATTAATATATTATCAAAGTTTGATTTATTTAAGAAGTATAAAACTGTAGTTTATAATGAAGAATTCTATACTGATGTATTAGATTTGAATTTTCTATTGGATCACTTGCAGGTAGGTTAAAAAGTTAAAGTATAATCTTTTCATGCCACTAGCCCAACAACCAACATATTATTATATATATCTTATATTTTTTTAGAAAAACATGTATCAGTAATTCATTTCATTTTTCAATAAATTGAAAATTTTTATGCCACTGTTTTGGTACCATTTCAAATACATTGGTTGGGATACCTATTGTGTGGACCTATCAGCAAATATGCTTAAATACAGATTGACTTTTGTGTGTTGGTCACCTTGAAATGATGATGAAAACACAGATACAAATAATTATGAATTAATCGTGTTAATGCCTTGCAGGATGATCCTGTATTTAAGAAATATAAAAAGTTAAATCAGAGTTTAATAGATGTTATTGAAGGTTATGGTTTAGTTTCATTTCTACCATTGAATCTGCAGGTAAGAGATGTTTATTGTAAGAGTAATGTAAGGGATATAACTGAATTGAAGGTTGAAAAAATATCAGACCACATCTAAAAAGTCATTAATGAGTTTATATCCACATTCGCATTTAGATTGTATCATGAAATTCTTTCTTTATATTACAGAAGAAAGAAAGTATAGAGTCAGTTTCAGCGGCTGTTGATAAAGCTAATGGTTTTGTGTTTGATAAAATATTATCATAGCATGGTACAGAATGTGATTACATTCTGTTGAAAACTCAATTCTGAGATAACTATGGTCAGAGAGAAATATAGGACTCAATACAGGTTTTGCCAATACGAGGGTTTGGTAACATGACTTTGGTCTAAGTGAATACTTAAATGCCATATTCGTTGGTCAATGGGAGGAATTCAGAAATTTGATAATGTCTACGCAGAGAACAAGAAGTTGTACAGGTAGTGGATCATTCCTTTGACTGTGCAGATGTTTAAAATAAATTGTATTCAATGTAAAGATTATTTATTTACGATAAATCAGTGGTATAATGACAACAGTGAACTTGTATGAGACAAAAAGTTCATCTTATAATAATTATATACACAATACAATAATAAAAACGCCTCTTCATATCCAACCAGGTTCACAATGATAATCTGGGAAAGCTTAATGGCTGTGTGTGTCAGTTGATAGTCACTGACATTTCTGTACAAAGCGCCTTATTGCATAAGTTACTTGCAGCGGCGCTTGTAGGGGTACAAAGGGTGGTTCATACTCTCAATTGTAGCCCAACTTCATTTCCTAAGAAATCAAAATATGATTTTATAGCCCGAATTATGTTTCAGAACCCACCAAATCAAATCTATTTTCAGAAATTCTTCGATGGAGAACCTTAATTCGTCTATGTACTTCCTCGCAGTCGCCAAATTCTTCATCTTCACCTCGACAGTTGTCCCCCATTATGTCAGTCTGCCCCTCATATATACACCTAGTTTCGGGAGGCTGGTGCCACCATTGTGCGACTCACAATTCTGGTTCATAAACACAATCCTTTATCATTTTCACACAAAGGTTCTAGCTGTCTATAGCACTTCTTTCTTTCTTATTGTTAAAAATCAGAAACATACTCTTGAACAATATCAAGATCCATACAATTTTGAAAACAACCAATGAAACGTCAGCGTAAATGTATATTACATGCTATTTATGTACACAATCTAACTTCTTCTATGATGATGTTGAGCAAACAGTACCCCTTGGTACATGATACCGTTGATTTCCATTGTAATGACTAATGAGCTATCTATTTCTGATCGACCATCATCTGTAAAGAGATTAGAAAGAATATTACAAACCCTGTATCTCTAAAGCAATTCAAAGATATATATATTCAGCATACTTATCCAACTTTGACTCTTGTCGATCCAATTTCCACCAATCTTATTTGCTGTTGAATATCGAAGTTTCAAAACACTGGGTATTATGGATCTGTTTTATAGCAGCCATCGAAAAAACAACAGTCGTGCAGATGGGACAATAAACCAGCATACCACACGATATGCTCGTTAAAGAACCCCAGGTTATCTAAAAAGAGTAGGATAATGCTGCTACTATCCTGACAAAGATACCCCCTGAACTATAATCAAGTTTTAATGGATTGTGATTCAACTTACTTCGTGAGGTGATTTTAAAGTGAGCACTAGGGAAACCAGCATGTAGAAGCATCCTCTCCTCTTCAGACAACATCCTCTTACTAGGACTTGGTTCTTCCATAGCAGTTCTTGAGGCAGCTTCCATTTTCCTAGAAGCTTCTTCCACTGCTCTCGAAGCTGCCTCCATGGCAAGTGCATCGCGTTCTGTAAGAACTCTAGTTGATAGATTATGGGGAGTTGAAGGTAGACTGTCTTCAGTAGCTGAAATGAAAAGGATTTGTTGTCATATTTAGATTATTCTTTAAAAAACGTTATGGATTTATGAAATGGATTCTGGCAATGAGTTGATTCTTATGTTGATTTTGAACTGGCTGGTCGGAGCACAAATCGTGGAACTTACGTGGTGTTCCCAAACGATGTTTCCCATTTAAGAGACTACCATTAAGATGAGTAGGTGGGACTAGATTAGGACTAGGTGACATTTCATAACCATAATGTGATCTTCTACCTTCTCGTCTGTTCCCATCAATAGCAGCTTGCAATTCTGTTGGTGAACTTAGCTTTAACTTTTCGCACTCATATGGATATAAATACTTCATATATCTGAAATGGATAAATGGATATAGGTTGAGAAATTAGAAAAATAGCCCTGTTTATTTTATTAGCCAATTAATATTGACACCTTTCCTGAATAGAACAGATTATTATGTTTCTTGAAGGGAAACATTGTCTGAATGGCAACACCATTAACGACAAAACAACGTTTACAAAGCTATATGAAAGTAGTATATTTTGAATAGGGTGCATTTTAACTATTTTCTCACGATCACTGATTAGTGTCGTATTATGTATGTATTTCATTTATTTTGTGATTGTAGGGAAATAGTCGTAAATGAGACTTCTCGACGTTTAACAGTTCGCAATATCACAATTATGGTAACCAATTTTAGAGAAGGACATAGTCTTATTGACACTGAACGTGTAAAAACTGTTTGTCAAGACAGTCGTATTGTCCTAAATCATATTTCTCTACCCATGACCTTTAATAGCTGACTCTTTTCCAATGGCATTATCTAATTTACATTCCTAGTCATTTAGAAATACAAAAGAATTTAAGTTGATTTAAATGAAAGATGTTGAAGGAGATGTGATCTTTATATTGTATAGTGAAGAAGGTGAAACTATTTACTATTTAAAAGGCCATTTGAAATGTAATTAATATGAGACTGTTACAATCTTTGTTCTTGTATTTGCTATTATTTTATCTATGCCTTTATGGATTAAGAGAAATGTCGTACAATCTGACTAAACCTTTTGAGAGATGAGATATGATACGTACTGTGTTGTTAAGGATGGGTATAGAGTCTGGTTGACTTAAGTCCTATGTTATAATATTAAAAGAAAAGAATACGTACAAGGTTCGGTTTATTTGCATGCAAGAAGAACATAATTTAAATGTCGAAAGATGCATAAAGGTCTGTACTTCCAGTAGCAGCACTGGCTTAATGTGGGCACAATTTTCAAGGTTGAACTCAAATTGCAGCAGCTACGTGAAAGCGGAAAGGCGCAAACCTCCTATGTATGTGGCATCTAAAAGGGTTCTCCCACAAGAAAAGTTTTAAAAATCGAATTGATTGGATGCATTCTGACACATTGTGAATTTTATACATTTATATTCATACATTTAATTTCATTTGTTAGAAATGAAGTCGGGGCACAATAATTGGGGTCCGAACCATGTTTCTAGGGGCAAATTATATCGTAAAAAGACATTCTCCCATGAGGGTAAAGGTCACAAATGATCCAAGATTGGTCCTGCAGAGAATAGTAAAACCAGAAGTGTGGATCGTTGTCTCGTTAAATTTGGACTAGTTTAATCAAGACAAAAACAGTCACCTCTGTTTGGCATAATTAGATCTATCATGTTGAATTTCAATTGTATTATGTCACTTTCAATTAATTCACTCGACTTTTTCCTTGCAAAAAGATAAATTTGTTTAAATTGTAAAGTTGAACTAGAATCAATAACTTTTCTATTCTTTGAGTGTTATGGACAATTTAAAGTTGCAGGACCACTTACATTATGCTCTTTGATCAAGACAAACTTCATTCAATAATACTCCCCAAAATACGTTTCAAATTTCATCTGATTTTACTTAATATTGCTTTGTAAATTTTAAAGAGATGTTAGACGATTGTTCTGTACCCATATTCTCTGATTTTTGATCAGGGGCATATTTCTCGAAAACTTTGTCTGAATATCGTTAGTTAACTGACACTGAACGTACGGGTCTAGCTATGTTTTCTCATAGCGAATCCTGAAACCGAAATGGATCAATTTATGACCTTGGCTAAGAATGAATTGTATGGTTACTTTAATCGCACGAGAGTGTTGGTTCGATGAAGAACAAGTATTGTAATCAAGTCTAATTCAATACTATTAATATTTGATAGTGTAAGACCACATTTAATTCGTTCAAGGTGTAATTTGATCAAATTAACAAGGTCTCGCGTAATTTCCCAGTATCATTTTCTGCTCTAACTGACACCTAATAATTTCTAATGTGTGCCTTTAATTTGTTATAATCTTTACCAAATGACATTATATAGTTGGATTAATTGAATTAGTTCCTCCTTTATTTCTAGACAATTTCTCATTATTCTTCATCTCTGATCTCATAAACACCAGCTTAATATTTATAACTATTGTACCTGACACTTCACATAAATACAGTGTTGTATGAAGACCACATAATCGCCCTTCAATAGAATGTTGGACCACCACTGAATGCTGATTGGGAATCAGACTTGTCGATTTTATTTGAGCGAGTGGTCACAACTATCATTACATATGCAACTTTATGTTTGTAGTGTGACCTGTGTCATATACAATTTAGACGTAAAGCATTCGTTTTTTTTAATAGTGTACTGAACTTAATACGTTCTTTTAAATTTTCACCCCTCAAAAAACAGTATCCTAAAATATTCCCACTGTGTAGCAGTTAAACTTACCAGTGAATAAAGCACTTATAACCGAGATTCATAAAGATATAGTCCATAACCTTTTCAAAATTTCTACCCTCATTAAAAGTTAAAATTTGATTGCTAGTATCAAAGAATGAATTTTCTATTATCACAATTAAAACTATCGATTTAAAGACATTGATGTAGAAATGGCAACAAATGAAGTCAATAAGTGAAATAGTATCAGTCACGCCTGTTAATTTTATTTTAAAAACGCACAAAGAAAATTAAGCACTTCTTTTTTCTTGTCAATTAATTATTAACTCATCAAATTCCTTTTAGAATAAAACCAACTTTAATTGATACAAAGATCTATTTCACTTGAATGAAATTAGACATAAATAATTTATCACTTGTCCATTTGTTTTCTTGGGGTGATCATTATCCGTAACCCTTGGTGTTCTCGAAAAATTCGATGCAGCTTGAAACACTTGACAAAGAGCAGAACAGTATATGGAGACATTTTAGACATCTATCATCAACAGATCCAATAAATATTATATGAAAGCGTGACTGTGACAAAATGATCAGAGATGGGTATGCCTCCCCTTGTTTTCCAGTCATGGTACGTGGTTGTTGATAGTTCAACGCGTTAAGCGTCCACGATCGTTGTAAGTGACTGTCTTCAAACATTGACTAAGATCTATTGAAATGGTTTCAAAAGTCCGAATCCGAAAGAAAAGAAGATGAGAAGTCAAATGTAACTGACACAAAAGAAAGGTCATACAGACATTCTCGATTAGTTTATGCGATCTTTAATTCTAAGTGAATAACTCAATGTTTTTATAGCGTGTTTCTTCTATTACATTTTAATAATGGTATTAATAAAGCCACCAAGCTAATTAAATGTTCTGTGTATAATGAAATTATACAATAAGGATGATAGAGTAAATGAAATATAAATGTTTTTAAGTCCCTGAAGACGAAGAATGATGAGTGAATTATAGGAAGGATATTTATCATTAAGTTGAACCAGTCTCCAAGCACCAGAGCTTTGCATGAAAACCTAAACACTTTGAACAACTGTAATGATATTTGAGCGAGTCTCAGCTGCTGAGGGAGAAGTAAAGGTGTGAAACAATTTGGTGTCGAGTAATGGGATGCGAAGCTATTAAGTCAAGAGAAACTTTTTTCATTGTAATTACGTCTTCATAAGATACGATCGTGATTATACCACTGACTTAGTAATTATTTTATACGAGGACCTAGTAACTAGAAACTATCCAAATTTAAGCTAAATTAAAGTATTCTAAATTAAGACAAATGCCAAAAGTGGCTATTTTGCTCGGGGTCAGAAAATCATGAGTATAACACAGATGCAAAATTTGGTTCTTGATCTATCTCCATCGTGTTCCTTAAGCTTGACGTTATAATCGAAATATTTTGATAAAATCGTAAACTCAGATGTTTAGTTGTTATCCTTGCAAAATATACTTATTTCTTTTTTTCTGTTCACTCCCTTTTCTATTAACACATAAAAACTGGGGCGGTATCAGTAGCTATATGAATTAATATTCTATTAGACTGACAAATTATGGATAATGTAAGCTCGATATTATTTCTCACATCATTTAATGGTAATAAGAGAAGGTTTTCGTGTACAAGAGAATCAATGTACAATAATGTTGAGGTCTCAAGAGAGAACTGAATCAAGTTGATCTGATAATAACTTATTCTCTTAGATTGTATTTGATTTTAATTGTCTTGTTTATGTGAAGAGAATGATTTCGGCGGTTTGGGTTAGCTTTCTTTTAAAACTTCAGATCTTAAAGTAGTAGGACGCCATAATTGATTTGGACATTTTACTTTCAGCACTTCAAGTAGGTCGTTCAGGAGGATCGTCACAATCTGTTTAGACTTATCTATTCGGATGATGGCTAGATTTGATGTAACAAGGCTTCCGTAATCTTTCCACGTCTATTATAGATTTTTAAAGGGTATTCTCGTGAAAAATTCTTTTTATTCAATTCGCAGATCATGTTGATAAATTTTAAATTTTGTAAATCATAGAAACATGACCATTATCATTAATATTACAGACAAAATAAAAGGGGTCATAGCGTTTGATGATTGTGTATGGAAGCTCTGTTTGGAATTAATCACAAAGTATAAGACTTAGATACTTACTGTGTTCTTAATGTAAATGCAGCACTTGTGATAGATGATGGTAAATTTAAACCTTTCGTTATTTCTCTCCATAATTTCTTATTAATAACTTCTACAAGACCACCTTTAGATACAACCAGTCTAAATAATTCATATATATCTAAAGTTTGTTTCGCCATGATTGGTATTCTGTTCACGGGTGTTCCTGAAATGGAAAATTTAATTGAATTAGATATTGCAGAATACAGTTAAATGTGTTTTTACAATTAGCGCAATATACAAAATCAAAACCTTTCTAGAACTCAGAAGGGAATTGGATATCAAAATTTCGTTCTTCTGTACTGAAGTGCATTAAGCTTGTCAATTAAAGTTGAAATATATCATTTCGCTTGCATGGATACAATGATAAGTGTATGCATCTTACACTTGGCGAAATAATTATAAACAAAACCGTGCTGGGACTCAAAAGGAATTGAAAATCAAACTTTTGTTCCTATGTAGAAATGCATTGAGCTGGTGAATTGAAGTTAATTTTTGCTTGGATCAGTCAATCTAATTATGTAGACTACTGCACTCGGATGATCACAAATCTATTTGATATTTCTTCCTATACGAATCATAACAATTAGTAGAGTTTTAGAGAAGTAGATATACGATTATTTCAGCATAAATAGTGCCATGTGGAATTCTAGTTGGTGGAAAGTGGAAAAACAATTATTGAACAAGATCATAAACTAAACCCTGGGGTCATTTGAATACAGCATACAATAATAGTACATGTATATTATAGTAGTAATTGATTTGTCTTCACATTCATATCATTTGATTTACATTACTGATAACTGTAAGGCAGGACCAATGAAATATATCTTAGAATTAATCCCGATACGAGTTAGAACAGCAGTTTACATGGGAGTCGATTTTTAAAAAGAGGTGTTATGCAGGCAAGAGAAATGGAGTCATTTTTTGATTGTCCATGTTGTAGTTGTTTCGAAGATTTCAGTAAGGCGTTTGATAGAGTGAAGAGTGATAATTTCATTTAAACTCATTCAAATTACAAAATGGTTTTAAAACAACCTAATCTGTACTTTCATAAACAAGTTCCTCTGCACCAGCGGAAACTAGCAGAAGCTAGGTTATTATTTGCTGGAAATATGCAATATGAATGATTGTTCTTTTTTTAACAATATTATATGCATGATTACCAAATGTTTCTGGTCTAGAGATTTAATATGATCTTAGAAAGTCATCATTACAGATTCTACTTGAATGATATTCATATTAAATATTCATGATTTTCATGATTATCATGACAAAAAAAGTAAGATCAAATGGATATTGTTCTTTACCAATTAACAGCAATACTTCCACTATAATAATGATATCAACTAAATGAATTAAACCGTTGCTAATCTGCAATTATATCGATATGGTACGACTTCTCTCGCAGCACCAATTTTTCTAATATTCACTCAGATGGCTATTTGTAGGTTTGAAGTGAACAATGAGGTCTCTGGTTTTCCGTGAAGCCCTCCCTAAAAGAGCAGCCCAAACCATCTCACTCAGGGGTATATATCATTCTGGAATACTTAATCTATTTCAGATCTAAAATCTTCTGTATATAAATATTTCTCTATCAAGATAATTGAATCAAAAGGTAGTGAGATGTTTTCAATCTGTTTATTACATAAATCAAAATTATGACTGAGATTTTATTATGAACCTCTTCAGATTTATAATTAAAAATACATTAAGAAATAGAAAAAATACTATTCTATTTTGAATTATAACATAACGAATTCTAAATAACATGAAAATAAACCTAAGTATGTGTCTGTTTTCATATGGTTTTCTTTTTTACATTACAAATATTAGTTTTGTTTATTTCAGTTAATTTCAAATTCTTTAATTCAAAAACAAAACTGTTTCTGTAAATTCGACTGACTCACTTCTAGCCTTTTATTTGCATGATTGCTTTTTTTGGAATTAGGAATTTAGTTGAATCCGTATTCCTAGTTTTATGACTTTTTAAAATTTTGATATTGGGGTGTAGTTTGTGTTTCTTAAAAAAAATTTCAAAAGGTATAGTTAAATCTACAATTTTCTATTTTCGTAATCTAAATCAAATAAAGCTAATGAGTAAAATTGTTCACGATTACAATATTTACGGAATAAACCAATCATATCCTAAAGACAAACTTTTACAAAACCAAAAGGACAAAATCGGGCAATGTGAGTTAAGGGCTAACCTCTGTCAAGTCAAGAATAAGATTAAATCATTTCCTCATCCACCTGTATTACAAGTTATAGTAGCTAGGTCTGGTTGATACATGAGAATGGGGGTTAAAACCAGGTGTAAAGGGTAGAATGAAGAACGATTAAGCTGAATTGAGTTTACCACTATAATTATTTGATCATGGAGTTGTATTAAAGTTGGTACAAGGACTATAATTTACCTGACAACCAAGCTTTATATATTATATATAGACTGGCACTAATGAGAATAAATTGTTATACAATAAAATAAATTAAACTATTCTCAGGTAAAAAAGCAGGTTTGGGTCATTGATCATTTTTCAATACTTTTAGTTTGTTTTCTTTTTATTTGAATATGCGTGAAATAATTCTATAAATTATTTCGTTATATTTAAGCTAATTTTTTAAATGACCGTTTAGCCTGAATTTCCTACCATGTTATTAAAGTTTTGACTTTTACCATTTCGAGTTCTCACATCAAAATGAGAAGTTCAGAAGCTGGAAACAGAAAAAACAGTGGGACTATTGTTCCGGAAGGAGCACCGTAAAGGACACTTGCTTTTCACGTCCATGAACTTTACAAAATTTATTACCTGTCGCAGCGCAGTATGCATTGAGGTCAATATTTCCTGGACATCTCGTCTGATCTCCATGTCAATGAAGCTAAAATGAGCGTGCTTCTTGTATGATTTGATACAATAAAATTAAACAAAAGGTTGTAATGATATCAATTCAGATTGAGTGAAAGTCACTTTTAAGAATGATCTATCAAGTCCGTTCAGAAAGGATATATCATTGGCGGTATAGATCAATCTACATAGTAGTAATTATGTTTTAACTGAAGTTATTGATTGCAAAGCATCGTATGTGACTTATCAATCAGACGATATCCACTCATTCAACATTCTGTTAACAACATTAAGTTTAATACTCTACACCAATTGTATTTTCCCAGGTACTTGGCACATTAGTACTGTTCACATGCAGCAACCCTCGATATTTCACAGAAGGATACGCGAACCATTAGCAAGGCGCTTCGGCGCTCATCGGCCTTTTCCAACGTTCAGCATGATTTGATCGTTTTTAGTCACCACATCTAATGAAATTTATCTGCCATTTTCTTAGTATAATAGAAATTTATTTGAGTGTGCCATGGTTTGAAAGCACGATTTCTTTTACTAAATTAAATGGCTTACCTCTTTTCTGCATAAAGCTGAATAAATCATCGAGAAATTCTCGTCGTTTTGGGTCCTCACTGAGTTCATAAAGCTGAAATAAAAAGAAATAACATTTAATATAAAAGATTTTTGATAGATTTAACTGAAATAAAATTGATATCTTTGCTATTTCTTTTATACATTAAGGATTTCAGATCATATTCAACCACGCCCACACCACCCGATCTCATTCCCGTATTAACGTTGCTGTAAGTAATATATGGGTCAAAAGTATGTGAAATAATGAAAACAATGTAAGTCAGTCTTTATAATGTACCAGGTGTGTTGAGTAAAAGGAATTAGTCGAATCAAGGTATTAAATGTAAATTAATTAAAAAACACGATGGATTTGGCGCGATATTTCAGTATTAACATTGATTGTAATCTGATGAGTTTTGTTGATAAAACTTTGTTAACCTCTACACATGTTTATATACAGTTCATATTACCTCCCAGAACTTATTTACTTAAAGAAACACACTCTACAAAATCTCTCTTTTTGAATCTTATAGTATGGGGATATGTCTCTGGTGCTTATTTAACTGCTTTTAAGATTTCCACAACTTTCAGCTTGACACAAGGAACATCTCTCTGACCATCAAGGAAATACAGAAAATAGCACCGTTTTATCGATGTCCAATCGGTAATAGTAAAATAACAACGGATCAGAAGATGCAAAAAAAAATTATTTTACTCTGGGGATTTATTGAAAACAACGTTTCAATAATTTACATTGTCATCATCAGGTGAAAATAAAGATTAAAAAAAAATTATTCGATGTGACCTCTACCCTAAATTTAGCTTAAGGATTACAAATAATATGATGGAAGTTTTACTCGGGAGGAGGTCTACTTCCATCTTTAATGGAACCAGAAAGGTAAAATATGTAGCATTATCAGATGATATTAATGTAAAACTCTATTAAAAATTATATGTTGATGGCTATGATTTACAACATTAATTAAATCTTCCTCCTGGGGAATCTTTAAATTATTTCTAATTCTTAGTAGAATTTGGAATCAAATCTGATAATTACTATGTTCTGTTAAACTCATACGATTCTTAGATTTCCATTAATCTGGTATAATTAAACGTGTCATGCCTTGCATTTCACTTTCTTGCTCATTTTAAATCTAATTTACCCACTTAAAGTCAATCTCAGACACTTAAGTTCATCGAGTCTCATAAGCAACAATGGAATTTATCATAGTAAGGGGCCATAAGATTTTGCCATTGACTAACAGCCTATCCTTAAATACCTGTAAATGCCAATGGATGAAATGGATTTACTTCTTCATAATTGGCAATTAATTATTTTGCCCTGGATAAGAATCCAGAACAGATGTTAATAGTCCCTACGAACAGCAACAATTTCAGCCACCATACAATTTGGATTAACTGCTGTGCTGTCGCATATTGTTCAAAATCTGAACAACGAAATTAACCTCACTATAACTGTTTTTCCACTGAAAATTATAAAGTAAAGCTAGATCTAAGCTATCTTGCGTTTACACTGAATTTAATTGGTTCACGAACGACTTAAGCCTCGTTAATGAATTCGCACATTATTGACAACTCGTGATTTACAAGACTAATGTTAAGACCAGTAAAAATGCAATAGACCGGAAAGACCAGTATGCCCCTATTGCCGAACGAGATAAAGCTGGCATTTTGCGTTTCCACTGGTTAAGCTAGCTTAAAGCCGGCTTTAACTTATTTCACTTTACAATTCTCGGTGGAAACGAGGTTTACATAAAAGGAATTTACTGGAAAATACACACACTACATCTCGAAGCTGGGAGATCTTTGGAAGTAACTTGAAAACGATGACCGAAACAAGGGTATAAAACCAATAAATAAAACACACAGTTTTTCATGTACATTGTATGGTATGTTGCAAATATATTATGTTACGTATAATTATTATAGCCAACACACTAAAGAGCGAATCTTTTTTCCTGTTACTGTATATCGTGAGTTTAATTTTACCGCACATGTTAGATATCAAGGTAATTAAATTATTCGCTTAATTAACATCATGTCATATGGATCCATCTTAAATCGATAAAACATTATCAAATAACAACTATAAAATCTGAACCAACTATAACGGCTATAAAATTATTATGGAAATTATTAGTGTTAATGGTATTATAATGTTACTCGACCACGCCCACTTATTGCTTTTTATTGCAATGCACTTTTATTTCAACAACCTTATATAATTCGAAAGATATATAACTATTACTATGCCATAACTCTCAAACTTAATGTGAATAAACTGCTAAAAAGTAATTTCAACAGAAAACAATATTGGACCTATTACATAATGATATTCACTATTTATAAAAGTAATCTGTACTCTTCTTAAACTGTTCTGTAAGAATTTCAATTACCGAGGTTGGCACTTTAATATAATTTCTTTTCATTAGATGAAATAGAATTAGTAAAAGACATTAACTAGAATCAATTAATGTGTCATTAACAGTAAATATCTCGATTCCCCTCACTAAATTGACTTTTAATTCTAACTTTTTTTTCTCTTCTGACGTTTTTCTAGACTTAGTACCAGATAGACGAGTAATAATCGTGATTTATTTCCAATACAAATTGTGCAAGAGAGAAGTTTTTTTACTAAGATTAATTTAATGTGATGAAAATAGCAGATTTATAATGTATAAACTGTTAAATGGTAAAGCTTTGAAATTCAGTTAATGTTTTACTGTTAAATGATTTAATATATTTAAACAGTCATTTTCTTTAAATTCATCGCAGTTTATATCATTACACATGTTTTTAACTTTTTTTCTTAATTTTCCTCTTTTTCTTTTTTATCGTTTTCACAAATGAAATAAAAACAGCTTTCTAGATACCTTTTCTATTATCAGGTCGAATATTAAAACTTAACGGTTTTATTAACTATGATAGTCCTTGATGGAGCATTTGAACACCATAATAAAGCATGGAATAAAAACAGGAAAACAGGGAATAGTGTGTTTTGTCCTCAAACGTCCTGGATCTAAGGCTCGCCTAAAGGTCCTTAAAGCCGCAATTGCTGACTGCAAATAATAAAATGGTATATTTTGTAAAGGTTATAAACTCCCAGGTTCAACAAAAGACAGAGGTCAAATACTGGAATATCACAAGAAAGTTCAGAAAAACAATTTTATATCTAACATAGCTGTAACGTTTTAATAGAACGACATAGAGACCTCGTCATAACGACTTCTTAGACGACATTTATATTGACATAGGTTTAAATCACTAACATTCCATTCAAAGCTGTCGACTTTACAATATATGGAAGCCTTGTATTAGATAGAGGAGTGAGCTAATCTTCATCTCTTTCATCTTGAGGATAACTCATCCAGTCTGAGATTAGCTACTACTGGAAGATTCCTCGGTATTTTGATCTATGTATTTACCACACCTGAATATGACTGTATAAAACGAACATTTCCCTATTGATCTCCACCAACTTCGACCTCTTTATCTCTCATAAAAGGATTTGAACATGGCCAAATTAAAGAGAGTAAATTGTCTATGATAGTTGTGAAGAAGAATGATAACATTGTTTGGAAGATGAAATGATCCGAGGTCAATATCATGCCAAATAAAATCAAGCCAAATTGTCATCTTAATATCACACAAATCACATGAACTTTTTTTTAAATTGGCTGGTTTTTGTCATAATGATCAAGGAAAATTTTTGAAATTTATTTAGTTAGATTTAGTTTCATTTTATAATCCTATATCTTCATGATGGATTAAAATACCCTACGAATGAAAGTGAATGAGATGAGATGAATCAATACAATTTCTCGATGTTTAATCTGGGAATCAACATGGCCTGTTTAATGTGATGTAACATTATTTGATGTCTGAAACAATTTCAAACAATCTACATAGATCGCCATCTTTCTGGTAATGAATAGGATAAATACCATTTCCTTTTCAAACTGGTGGTTATATTTTCTCTTATTTTCACTTATTCACATACATGTAATTAGAAATGTGTATTTAGATGTATATCAGAAAAGCTTATTTGTCTAATTTTTGAAGGGTTCTAAAATTGATTTGGGCAAGAGTACAAACGACACGCGAATCAGTCAATTTTATCTTTGAGCCCAGTTTGACTTGTTCCAACATTTTAATCTACAGATTAACGTCTCAAACTTTCTTACAAATCACTTAAGACATTGGAGGTCAAGGGTATGGTGATATAGGTAATCCTAAATCAGTGAGAAAAAATTCTGAACCGACGTGGAAGTTGATGTATCTAGAATAGATTGATAATGACCTTCTTTCAGTAAAACTATCTCTCAATTCATTGGTACTACCAGACAATGCTACAATAGTGTTGTTTAAGAAGTTAGTAGTTAACAGTGATGAAGCCTTAAAGAATTTGTCAGTTTGGATCCCCTGTCTCAATTTACAAACTGTTTTTGCTGTTGTTAAATTTTAAAAATAATACAATACCATTAAACAAATTTGAAAAAGGTAAAACTAGAAGTTGTGTGTTCCACTTTAAAATGTCATTTAATTCAAGGGCGGTTTTTGCTCTTTCAATCTAAAACTCCCATTAATAATTCAACAGTTGTAGAGAATTATTCTTTAATTTTCTTGAAATAATAAATGTTCATTTACTTAATATTACACATGGAACATACAATTTATTTCAATAATTAAACTAAGGCAAATGAAATATTTCTATTAAACGGAAATGAAAATTGTGAGAGAGTAATTTAAGCCTTATGATGGCAATCATTCTGAAATTGTCTGTGAATATTAATTATATATCTAGAAATGTTTGTAAGAAGAAAATGACTGAATTCGATGTGAAAAATTTCATCATTTAAGTAATTCAAGATGTGAATTAACCATTAAAACAGCAGGAATCTTTTTTATTTTTCTTGATGGAAACTATCAAATTTAATTATATTAAACTATATTTCTGGCCTAGATTAGGTTAAGGAGACTTAAAAGTGTGTTGTAAGACAAGATTGTTTAATACGTTTCACTGTGTTTACTATTTTACAACTGCTGAGTAAGGTCGAACTCATTTTGCACAATCAATACTCATCGTAGACTTATTTTGTTGCACTTAATATTCAGTAGATACAAGTCTTCAAGTGACAGCTTTCTCTTCCTAATTACCAAGGTGTATCATTAAAGGCTTTCTAAACTGGGAGTGAGTCCTGAACGTTTACGATGTTGAGATAAGAGTTAATATATGGTTATAGCATTAATTAATAACATATATCAATTATTGTGTCAGAATTCAAGGGAGATAATACAAGATGAGACCATCTTTAAGCAGCTCAGAGCGGTGGCTTACATGTTACATATACAATGACACTATTGAATATTTAAAACACTTACGATATAGAAAGATCAGAAATGAATGAATATGATTTTTATTATCATTTAGAGGTTACAATATCTTTGACTGATTTAACTTTTGTCACAAATTGAATCATTAACACTACACAATCATTAACACTACACAAGACGTGTCGTCACGCATTACATCAAGATCAGCAGGATTCAGTAACATGATCGCAACTTATACTTTTCGACTGAACGCCTAATTAATCAACTCATCAATAAAATTGTTAACGACTCGTTGAACAGTTGTCAGCCTTTTAAAAGGAAATAATTCGTTTGTATTAGATATATTCCCTCTTAAATTGAAATGGAGTTTAACATGAAATGTATTAGAGATAATGTCTCTTAAATTTGCTTTTTCAATTGACATGAAATGGAGTTTAGCCTCTAGATGGAGAAATATATCTAGTGCTTCAATAAATAATGACTGTTCGTTAGATTAAATTCGTGTCAATCAAGACGTTATGGAAAAATATTTTGTTGAACATATCTATGATGATATTTAATGTACCACACACAGACTCTGACAATCTCTCACTTGTACAAGATTGCCATCTTGATCGAATACCTTTCTACATTACCAACAACACTGCGGTTCCTTTTTGCAAACAGAAAGAGATGACAGTCTTTATCAGATACATGAATAAAGCACATCAAACGTTTGCTAAAAATACTTAAGCTAGATTGCAACGAGCGCCAGGTACTTGGGATGGTATATCTAAAATAGAATTGATAACAATAGTCTAAATTAACAAACCTTCGTCTGAACAGTTTTTATTGTTTATCATTTCTGAATCCTACTGAAACCCACTGAGTGATGTATTTGCCAAGATCTCTAGTTATATTGCCCGAATGGATTTAGATACATGTACAATCGAAGGTGTCGATATGGAAATATAATTTTAAAAAACCATTTAAAACTTGGATCATCTCGATAATGAGTTGATATGATTAGTAAAGAAGTTTTATCTGAAGACACGAACTATGTGTAAAATGTGTTAGTAAATGTTGAAAGTCTGACGCTGTCTGAGATGAAAGTTTCAAGTCAAGAAAGTTTCTATCATCAACGCCAACTGATGGTGTAGAATGACACGTGTTTAATGATCAACTAAAATTACTAAACCTTTCATTTTACATCTCTGATTAACAAATCTTTAAACATTTCTTTTTATTTGTGTATATAAATCAACCAGTAAATAATTTTTTTCTTGAATGTGTAACACGTTCTGTTATATAAAATTGCTTTTAGAATTTGTGCTTTACTATTCTGCATAGTGTTGACAAATGGGGTAAAATAAGATAGCCAAATACAAAGAGACAAATTTTTATATATACACAATGAATTGTACCAAAAAATACTGTTAGTGACACTTTCTGAGTTTAAAATACAATCAAAGAATTATAACGAATATTCAGAAATAAGCGAGACTTCGATATCATTATTAAGAACGTTTAAGAATAATAAATTATTAGATTGAACATGTAATATAGCTTTCCATGGGGGATGATAAGTTTTATGTAGCAGAATAACGTGTTCAAGGAGTTAAATTTCTGAGCATCCCCATCTACTTGAGTAATTGAACTGAAATTGTCTTTAACGAAATCATCAAGCACAATGGCTGTTTTCTGTGGTCAGATTGAACATTGACCTGTAGTAATTTGACCAGAAATCGTGGAATGCCAGTGGTGATACGGTAACGATATTTTGATATTGAAATGAGTATTAGAAGTGATAGTTGTATATGTATTTATCAGTATATTATTGTAATGTTATACCTAGAGTACATATGTTAGCATCTTACCTTCTACCTCTAATTATTACTACTTAACCTCTTATTGACCCCACTCCCTTCAATTTCTTTTACATTAATTAGTATCTACTCTCATCAAGGTATATTCTCCTAGATAGCAATTTACTGTAGCTCTAATTACTCGTCTTAATACCTCGGTTTAAATAGTGTAGCAGTTGCTTGAAAAGCATATCTTTTTAATCCAGTAAAGCAGTGAAGGCTCAGTTGATAGTTCATAAAATACAACTTCATTGTCGTATTCATAAAATACAACTTTATTGTCGTGTTCATAAAATACAACTTCATTGTCTTGTTCATAAAATACAACTTCATTGTCGTGTTAATAAAATACAACTTCATTGTCGTGTTCATAAAATACAACTTTATTGTCATGTTCATAAAATACAACTTCATGTCGTGTTCATAAAATACAACTTTATTGTCGTGTTCATAAAATACAACTCCATTGTCGCGTTCATAAAATACAACTTCATTGTCGTGTTCATAAGATACAACTTCATTGTCGTGTTCATAAAATACAACTTCATTGTCGTGTTCATAAGATACAACTTCATTGTCGTGTTCATAAAATACAACTTTATTGTCGCGTTCATAAAATACAACTTTATTGTCGTGTTCATAAAATACAACTTTATTGTCTTGTTCATAAAATACAACTTCATTGTCGTGTTCATAAAATACTTCATGTCGTGTTCATAAAATACTTCATTGTCGTGTTCATAAAATACAACTTTATTGTTGGGTTAATAAATACAACTTCATTGTCGCGTTCATAAAATACAACTTTATTGTCGCGTTCATAAAATACAATATTACACATGTCACATTCGACTTTGTCAGCTCTAATAGAAAATGTTCAATTGTAAGACTGAATTATTTGCATTAATAAGAACACTCTTTAATGAACAAATATTTTCAGACTAAAAACAGAATTTTACAAAACCTTCAATTTTGGAAATATGGCTTCATTATAAAAGAAAACATACACGATATTGGTGGCAATATATAATGTAAAATATGTTTAAAATAAAACCTTGTATGTAACTTTTTTCTTATATAACATGTTTCAAAGTATCTTCTTTCTAAAATGCTTTTAAATTCAACATATCTCGTCTGTAGGGTTTGTTTTCAATCGAAATAAGACATTTCAATTTAGTGTAAACTAACAAATAAAAAACACTAATAAAATAAACTGAATAACGCTTCAATTTATTTCAAATTTAACCTCAATTATTTATTTTTGAGATTTTTGCAAGTTTTTCAATGTTTTTAAATTATCTGACATTAGTTTTGTTGTGGTAAGATGAGACAAGACACGTTCTTCGTTATAAAAAAAAACTTGCAATCGTTGGTTAATGTAATATGAAAATTCACACCAAAACAATCGTTGTCAGCAACATCGTAGCTATTTAAAATAAGTTAGATTGGTAAATTGTATTGGCATTCACCTTTTTTCTGATGTCACGATTTAACGATATCCTGTAGCAACAGATAGCCTTAAAGGTCATGAAGATCCAGGACTTGTTCATCATGATTTCCCGTCCAATGAAACATGTTTTAGATGCTTATGCACCATTTCAAAGTATTTTTTGTCCTGGAATCTACAGTCCGGTTGAATCATTTCTTTTTAATTGTTAGTAATTTCTTAACTGTAGTTTGGTAACCTTCTCAAACATAATCAAATCTCAGATATGGAAACGTGGCATGTTTGATGCCTTGTTCCAACCAAGACTTTAAAACAAACCAAGTCATTCACAGTGTTAAGATACTGTTGTGAAAATTGTCTGAAGAAATAAAGAAAATAAAATATTTATTAAAACAAAAACAAGTTAATAAGTTTGAGGTTCAGTGAAACACAAAACGATAAAATAGGAAATTAAATAGTGAAAATATTTCAACAAACATGAACTGGGGGAAACGAGGTCTGAGAACAATCATATTAATATACCATGTGAATTGAAATGGTCGAAATCCCGTCTGTTGAATTCATCAGCAAGATCTGATTTTTACAGAAGAAGTCATTTGAAACTTGTGGCTTTCTATTTTTATTGAGCTCATATTACATCTTTAATAGATGTTCTCTTCCTGTCTAAACATCATTGCCTAGTATCAAAATCCTTTATTACATTTCAATAGATATTTTAACATTAATTTGATGGGTGAGTGAAAAAGAACAAGGATAAAGACGCGATCATGTAGTGTTTTAAAAGTTGAGTTATTTGATAAAAGAGACCATATCAAACTAAATGTCAGTTCCCATGTAGATTATGATATAGATATATAATATAAAAACAAATATCTACAATCTTTATTTAAAAACTTTCTTTTATATTAAATTTATTATGATTTTCTATTCACGAAAACGACACATAATTTATAGACAATTAAATGCCAGTTTTAATGTGAGAATGTGGAAGTCTTTCAGCAATTTTTAAAATCCTAGCAAACAAGGAAGGGTTTCGGGATGAGGGAACTTTTTCCAGGTAAACCTTCTCTTCTGCTTGGAAACTTAACATGCATAGTCCCAGGTCTTATTTGATTCCTTTATTTATTGACATGTATTCTAGCTAAGAGAATCCGAAGGAACATACCCAATTACAAGGTTATGAGCGTACATTCTGATTGTATTTGAAGTGCTCAACTCTGGATCTAAACTTGAATGGGCTCATAAAAATCAGAAAAAGCTTCCTTATGAATGATATTTAGAGAAAAAACATTTGTTATGATATATTGTTGCACGTTATCTCTCATGTAAAACAGATTTTAAAATGTTGTTTTTGCAAAAAATAAATCATACTTCTAAATATTTTCTTTGATATTTTGATAAGCAATTTAAGAAGTGATTTATCATTGTCGTTATCAACTGACCCTGTTTTTAAATTCCTTAACTCTTTCAGGTCAAAGGGGGTTTTAAAATTATTCTTGATTTATCAGGACGGAATCAGGGTTTAAATTTACTGATGAAAATTCCTCGAATCCTTCAAGTGACCAACATTAAACAAACAACTTTGAAGTTTCAAGATCTCTTCTCTAAACCCCTAAACAAGAATTTTAAAAACATTCCACGAATTTAAAATTTTTGCGCCTAAAAAGATTTGACCACATCGTTTTTGTTATCCTCATACAATTCTTATCATCTGATATGGTTTTAAGCGAGATACTGAACATACCCAATGTTTTGATTGAAATGAACATAGTACATTTCAATTTTGAATACAGTGAAACAATATTCAAGAGGCTTTTCGTTATTGTTATGAAACTACCTTGACAATAAAATGTAGGCTAAGGTCGATTACTAAACGACCAAGAATGAATGAAGTTGAGAAAAATCAACAAGTAAATACTAGAAAACAATTTCAACAAAGAAAAGAATAAAAGTCAACAAAACGACCAAAAGTGTGAATTGGAAACAAACATATAAATAATGAGAAAATAAGAAAACAGAGAGAAGAGAAATATAAAGATGATTGAAAAGTTTGTGAAAATGGAATAACTACATGTTTCATTATTTAGTTTAATTAAAGAATAACTTCAGTGATTGTCAATATTGATTCTTTCAATAAAAATCACTCATTATTAACCCAGAAAAATAGGCTATATGTAGAGGTGTCACTTTTTACAATTTTCACACTTAGATTTGTAAAAAAAGAAGGGAAGATATGTAGTCTCAGATATCGTCACAATGTTTGTGTGTCAGACATAATTTGGATATACTTTCGAATAGGTATAAATTTTTCAAAGTAATTTCATCAAAATTCAAACAAAGTAAATTCATCCAAATTCAAACAAAGTAAATTCATCCAAATTCAAACAAAGTAAATTCATCCAAATTCAAACAAAGTAAATTCATCCAAAGTAAATTCATCAAAAACAACAATAAATTTATCAAAAGTAATTTCATCAATTAATCATCAAAAATATATTCTTTAAATAATCTTCAAAATACAATTATGCTCAGCCAAATTCCAGAAAATGTCAATTCAAAGATCTGGTCCGCTATTGGCTAAAAATCAGATAACACCTTCCACAGCAAAAAGCCAATAGAAGGCGTGAAAATTGTATTATGTGTAGAGTTGGATCAATAATTGTTCTATAAGCCAGTATCAATCTTCATTTCATTAATATATAGCTCGATATTACGAGCAAATCTGTCAAATGGACGAGGAAATATCATCAATATATACTCAGTAGTTGACAATTTTGCACGTGGTAAGAATCTTTTGTGCTTCAGATCTTTTGTTGCACGTTCGTTACATATATATATATGTATACAGGATAATAAGGAACCGTTCTTGATCATGTGTTGAATGGACAAAACAATGATAAAGTTTTATTAATTTTTATAATGCATTAAATCTGTTACATTTGTGTGAATTTGAAAACATGAATTTACGAAGTGCTAACTGTGATCCTTTCCTGTCTACCCTATGTTGTTATCATATTTTATATAGATTAACGATTATTCATCATTTAACCCATCGCAAACAGATACAGTACATCTTACGATTAAATTATTTAATTTTTATTATATTATTTTTTTATGCCTGTTAGTCTCATCTCACCCATTTGTTCAGGTACGTCATTTGAGAAAAAATATATCAAGCACTTTTATAAAACCTATTTCATTTAGAAGTTAGTCAAGACATTGCTGAATAGAAATAAGTATAAACTTTTAAGATATGCAAATGAATCCTTCACATATTGTCCAAACTGGACAAACAGAAAGAGGTGAAAGATTATAAACAAAGATTTTAAACAAGCATTTTTAAATTGGTCTCCTTTAAGGCTACTACTCTTGGCCCTGCCCCCCCCCTTTTTTTTCCAATACGAAATTTGCTTTCGTTTACCACAAAATGACTCTTGGTATCCTTTAAATCAAAACACGATTCTAGGTATCCTTTACCTATATCACTCTTCAAACTTTTCACAAATGACTCTTGTCAACCTTTGCCAACCTCTAACACGATTCTTGTTATCCTTAAATGATCTGATAATCATCCCAGTGTCTCTTGTAGTTTGTGACTTTAAATTATGTAAGCAAGAAAAGTAATGACTATATCTGTATTAAGATAACGTGATTTTTAACACCCACTTCTCTACCTCCAATATTAAAGATTAGCTTTGCTATCAGGATGATCTTGTCAAAATAAAATCAAACAAAACCAACAGATCCTTTTCGATTTCAGAATAACCTTTAATTTTAGACATTGTTTCGTATCCAAAGACACACCTAGGCATAGTTTCGTATTTAAAACGATTAATGTATTTTCTGACATTTGAAAAGTCACAACTCTCGATGGCGGAGATTAGTTGAATATTGCTAGTGAATGCATAATTTGAAATATATAATTAAAAGTAATTCGAGTTTTTCACTTTCCATAATTAAAAATATCAAGAATGGAATGCATTGTTCTAATTGCACACAATATGGCGTAATGATGTACAACCTAATCATAGGTTTAGATAATGAACATTAACAACTGTAGCAGCAATAATCCGAGATAGTCAGCCTTCAAAGTTTAAAGAAGCTTTATTGATCAGTAACGAGTTATACCATACACATTTTAAATGCATAAGGAGTTCAAGAGTTTTCAACCATCTGTGAAAAAAAGCATCAGGGGTACACTCTTCCTGAAAGTTAATGATATTATGCCACTATTCTCGAAGACTGACTGGGAACAGAAATTTTCAGATAGAAT